TGATTTCAATAGAAACATGAGGCTAGAAAAGTTCATTTGTGATTGCAAAGACAAATAATCCAATGAGAAAATTAACAAAGTCTGGGAACCGGCATTTTCTAATAAGGGCCAAATCTCATTCTATTAAATAAATGCAATTTAAAATAATAAATAACATTCTTCATTGATCAGTTCAGCAAAGATTAGAAATGTGATTAAATTCAGTGTGGTGACACACACTAGCTGTTAATACGCATCAGAGGGCAACTGGGTGACACCAAAAATGTATCTACCCTTAACCCACCATGTTCTATGCTATGGATTTATTTTACAGGCGAGATAAAATATGCAGATAATATGTAAAAATATATAGTCACCCAAGTATTTTATTTTTTCCTTTTTGGCAACAGTCTCAAAAAGGGAGTAAACTTATCTTTACCAAAGATTGGTTTGTTAATTATGCAAATGAATAAAATACTATGTTGTTATTAAAATGAACTTGGAGTTTTTGAAATGAAAGGTGTGGAAAGAGTTGCAGAGTATTTTTAATTAAGGCAAATACAAAACAGAAAAAAAAAAAAAGAAAAGAAAGAAACACTGGCTCTCCCATATGTTTGTTTTGCTAGTTTTAAAAAGCTGTATGTTTGTGTTTGCATACATTTTCCAGGATGACAATGTAAAAAATCTCCAGCTGTAACTTTGGAAAGTTTTGAAAATAGGAAAGAAGAACCCTTACTTCATCATCCATTAGTATTTGAAATTTAACTGATAAGAATTATTGTTGTTGTTAAGTGTCGTTGAGTTGGTTCTGACTCACAGTGACCCTGTATAGGATTTCCAAGGAGAACCTGATGACCTTGAACCTCCGACCTTGCAGTTAAAAGTGACCTTGCAGTCCAGCGCATTATCCCACAGTGCCATACCAGGACTCCGTTATAGTTGATAAGAATACTATTATAATAGACAGGGTTGGGTCTCTGTTTCCTGTGTGGTCAATGCCCACCTTCCTTACTATCTCCCAGTCTCCCCTGGCTAAATCTCTTTTTCCCATCATTCAGTCTAGTCCCTATCCACTAAATATGCCTCCTTGCTCCTATCTACTTATTTACCTGTGTTTATGCAAAGGTGTGGTACTGTAGGATAAGCACTGAACTGCTAACCACAAGAATGGAGGTTCAAACTTGCTAGGTGCTCCTTGGAAACCTTATATAGGGTCGCTATGGATCAGAACCAATTCAACAGCACTTAACAACAATGCATTAATTATACTCAGAACAGCCATGTGGTGCAAAAGTTATGCGCTCAGATGGGAACCACGGAAAGGTCAAAGGTTTAAACACGCTAACTGTTCAGAGGAAGAAAAGGCCTGACAACATATGTCTGTGAAGACTACAGCTTAGAAAACCCTAGTGGGGCAGTTCGACGCTGTCTACAGGGTCACTATAAGGCAGAATGTATGCAATAGCACAAAACAACAACAGAGAGGCTTTCCCAACCATTCAGAATTCTGCTTACCCCCACCACCTGTAGGTCTCTTTAACTCTGTCAGGTGGCAGCCATCTTGGCTCCTCTTAACTGGGAGCTCCCAACCAGCACTCATTGGCTGCTTGTGCGGTGGCTCCCCGAGGGCAGCAGCTGTGCCCTACTTCTTTGGAGGTGACAGAGGAGCTGGCAGAGTGCCCTTTCACAGTAGGTGCTCAATAAGGAGCTTAACTGTGGCTTCCCCAAGGCTCTACAATTCTAAATTCCAGATTTAATTATGTTCGCTCCATTATTCTAAGGCAAGAAAACCAATACATGTTAAATGGATTTTCAACAACAAAAGGAATTTCTACTCAAGCTAGCTTTACTCTAGAATTCTACTAAGTTAAAACAGATCAACTCACTTCTGGCATTTTCTTGTTGCTTAAAGCTCTGCTGTTTGATATTTGACTTCACTGGCACTGAAAGGTCATTCATTTAAAGTCAAGCATATAGCAAACTTCACATACAAGATTAAAATGAACACTGAAGTTTTGCCAAGACGTTCAGCTTTTATTTCTTCTCTTTGCCCGCTAAATATTCTTCCTTCATTTAATAGATCCTTTCTTCTTCTTTTTTTTTTTTTAAACAAATTATCTGACATACACCTAGTTCTTTGGCTTACTGGTTCATTTTTGTTTTAAGTTTTAATCCTATTAGTGAAAGGACAAATTCCCAACCCAATAATCAAATCCTTTGTATTGTTTCATAAAAGCTTAATTATTTGAAATCTTTTGTTTCTTCAAGGCAAAAAGTATATGCTTCCACTCGAAAGTAATTATTTCATGATATCACTGGAATATTCTACAATCCATTTCCCATAAAGCCTTACCCATTGTATACACAACATAGTCTTCTACACACACACATGCACACACATAAAAAGGTGCTATGGCATTGATTCCAATTCATAGTGACCCCATGTATGCCACAGAACTAACTGTAGGGTTTTTCTATAGGATTTTTAATGGCTAGTTTGTTCAGGTTTCCCTCCTGAGAGCCTCTGTGAACTGCCAAGCTCTCAGCAGGTGAGCACTTAATTACTTGTGCCACCCAGGAACTCTGTGGTCTTCTAGAGAAGGGTTTTACATTAAGGCCAAGCTTCTTTATAGCATGGAAACTATCCAATACACCTTTCACATATGGACAGTCTGTCACAGACATCAGCAGCGCCAGAGTCAACATGAGGAAAGCAAAGGGTTGGCAATCTTGCGAGAAAGGGGAGCACCACAAGACTAGGCCTAAAGCTGTTTGCAAAGTAAGCAAACTTATTCTTACTGTTTGTTAACATGCATCCTGGTTTTACTCAGGATGTATGTTAACAAACAGCAAGAAAAATATATTTTAGTGAAAACATTTATTCACAGTTGATATGAAAACTATGAACTAGACTGTGATTATTTGGGAGTAAATTGTTGGGGAAGGAGATGGTAATAGAAATTCCAGCAGGATTAATGACCCCTCCACCACCACTACCCTTTTCTCAGCCACACTTTGGCACTGCCACTGGGTAAGGATCACTGAGAGACACCAGTACTGCAAATACAGCCACAAAATAATATCAACCTTTCATGGTGCCACATAGCCCTGTCTGGTGGTGAAGGTGCTAGACAGGAATGAGGATGGGAACCAGGAAAGTTGAATTTCTCTCTTCTATTCACTTCCTCCTCAATTCTTAGAGGTCAGATTGCCATATTGTTGAGATTCCAGCAGAGAACTGAAAAGAATCTGGACCACTATTTTCAGAATCATGCTGAATCTCAGTGTATACGTGGAGGGGCGCAGGACCACATCAGAACCAAAGAATAGCCAGTTGGTCACAAAGATTAATTTGTTCCTATTTCAGTCTAATCACTATAATCTCAATCAAGTTATTCAAATTTAGCATGATTTATTTAAAGAAAGGGTAGGGGGACCCTTGACTGTAATCCAGTGCCTGTCCCTTCATTTTGTTCTCTCTCAACACATGCACACACATATACACACACACCTCAACCAATACTTTCCAATCTTCGAAGACATACTAAATCTATACAAAGAAATTAACAACAAAAACAAACTAAATATATACAAAGAAAGAGTTGGTAAATACCATTGAGTTGGTTCTGACTTATAGCGACCCTGTATAGGGTTTCTGAGGAGCGGTTGGTGGGTTTGAACCAACGCTTTGCAATTAGCAGTCAAGTGCTTCCCCTACAGGGTCATACAAAGAAATTATACGCAATAAAATCTTGGGTGGGGGATGTTGACCAGGATTATATAAACACTGATCCCCAAGTTGGTTTCTAGGTAAATGTAAGTGATTACATATGCATATCACCTCTCCTTCCTTAAACCAATATAGAAATTATAGAAAAGAAAAAAATTGAAGGCATAATAGAGAATGGAAAAGAAGCTTGTAGCAGAAAAGAGAGAAACAGGAGAGAGGAGCGAAAACCTTGCTTTGGAGTAGAGCTGAGAAAAGCCAACGTGTCTGCAGAGGCAAAGAACCCAGACATTCACTGACCAGGCCTACAGGGCTAGAGAGATGCCTACAGGAACCCAATGGAGGTCCCTGCCAACACTGAAGACTCCTTCCCATGATTCCAACCCCCACCCCTCACTATCAGCTATTGTTGTTGTTAGGCACTGTTGAGTAGGTTCTGACTTATAGTGACCTTTATAGAGTTTCTGAAACAACTTTGCACTGCCGACCTTAAGGTTTAAATCGAGCTTGCGGTCCAATGCTTATCCTACAGTGCCACACCAGGACTTTCACTATTAGCTAACTGTTGTTGTTGTGAAGTGCTGTCGAATCCATTCCGACCCATAGCAACCCTGTATAGGGTTTCCAACCCTGTATAGGAGCAGCTGGAGAGCTTGAACTGCGGACCTTGCAGTTCAAACAGCATTGTAGTCTGGCGCATTAACCCACAGCACCACACCAGGACTCCTTGAGCTCCCTGTTGTTGTTGTTGTTGTTGTTAGATGCCATCGAGTCAGTACCAACTCATAGCAACCCTATGCCCAACAGAACGAAACACTGCCTGCTCCTGGGCCAACCTCACAATTGTCACCACGCTTGAGCCTATTGATGCTGCCACTTTGTCAATTCATCTCGCTGGGGGTCTTCCTCTTTTTCACTGACCCTCCACCTTAGCAAACATGATAGCATTCTTCAGTGATTAGCTAACTAACTACCCTTAAAAAGAAGACTGGGCGAACTGTAACCTTGAGTTCTCTTCAGTCAGGGAAGGCTCTGCAGAGAAAGATGTGCACTAAGACTACAAGACTGTGTCATGGAAGAAGGGGTGGGAGGTGGGCGTGGAGGCAGGCAACAGGATAGTGAGACAAAAAGGACATTTATGTTTCAGGCCCTAAGTCTTCTGCTTCTATGTCTATATATTTGAAGTAGCAATGTGACTTCCCAGTTTGATCCATACTAATGAAAAGAGAAATCCTAATGATATTCTTACCAGGTCCTATAAACCTATTTTCCTAGTCAGTGCAGTCATACTTACCTTGCAAGCTTACTGAGGCCAAGGACTTGCTTGTTAGGAAGATAGCCAATATGGACCTTAGAGAAGAGAGAGAAATCAGGAGCTAGGTGAAAACGCGATATTCTTTTGATGGCAGAATAAGGAAACACAGGAATAACATGGAACACTTGTATATAATTCATCACAATGAAAATGTATATTTAAAACATCTTGACACTTTAAGATTTATAAAATTATACATGTATCTAAGCATTTTTTCTAATTACATGAATGAAGAAAAAGGGAAATATGTGGGCATGAGTTTATTAATCAAATGATGAATTTAAAACATGTCATGATATTACCTGGTGATGCTACTCTTGGTACAAATCTGAAATTCTTTTTTCTATTAAGGGGAAATAGTCAAGAAAATGCAAATGATCCTATAGCAACATTGTAATGTATCCAGGAGAGCCTCATTTGAAGGGCAGAAATGATAGATATAAATATTGCTAGTCTACCCATCACAATGGCCTTAAAAGCCCCGCCACAGAGTCCTGTGGCACAGAAGGCCTCCCTGCCCTTTGTCACACTTGGTTGTCCTATTTCTAAGCTGCTAGTGAACCCTCTATTCCTGACAGCTACCACCATGATCCAACAAAAGCTAGATCCTCTGAATTAAGTTCATACAGGACCTACTATAAAACAAAGCCATTTCTATAATACTTAAAAGTATCAATTAACATTTAATAGGTAAATGTTACCTCTTTTTAAGGAAAGTATTAAGTTTTGTTCCCTAAATAGGTTAATAAGGTAAATTATCATTTGTAGGTGATTCAATAGCCCAATATCAAATCCACTCAATTGCATCATGGTTTTCCCACATTTGTTTCAATTGTTCATGTCATATTTACTATACACTTTCGCAACTGCTCTAGTAGTCAGCAGTAATCTTACTCCTTTAGTAAGATTTACAAGCTTGAGAACCTCACTTCAACATTCTGCCAGTCAGCAGCAGAAAATAAAGTAACACCTGAAAGTTGAATATTTCAAATTTTAAAAAATGAGAGCATTAAAACTTTCCCATAGAACCAAAGACTTCTGTGGCACCTGAAATCTTTATACTTATATGCAGGGCTATAATTTGTTTGGAGTCCGATCTACAAGGTCAGTGGTTCAAACTCACCACACGCTACTTGGAAACCTTACACAGGGTGGCTGTGAGTCAGAACCAACTCAATGGCACTTAACAACAACAATAACGTGTTTATTGTTTGTACTAGTTATGGTCTACTTTAACAAATTAAGTCATCTTAGTGTCCATTTTAGAAAATCATCAATAAGCAATATATTTTAAAAAGTAAGCTAGCAAGAACAAAAACAGATCATCATAGCATAGACTCTAATGGTGAGAGGCTAAGTCCAGGACCAGGTTCCTGGAGTCCAGCCGCAGTTGTTGTTAAGTGAGAGCCGTTGAGTCGGTTCTGACCCACAGCAACCCTGTATAGGGTTTCTAAGGAGAGGCTGGTGAGCTTGAACTGCCAACCTTATGGATCAAACTGACTTTGCAATCTAGAGCATTAGCCCACAGCACAACACCAGGACTCTTCCAGTTAGAGATCACTAATTTCTCCCTCTGTCCTTTGGAACCAATTTGATGGCACTTAACAACAATCCTTTGGACAAGTCATAGGCTTTCTGGGCCTAATTTTCTCAACCATAAATATAAGGCCGAGATAAACTGAAAAGTTCCTTCTTTCTTGAAAATCCTGAGCCCTGCTGTCCCAGCTTCAGTATCACTAACACTTCCGATAGGATGAGCTGTAGGGGCTGGTAACAGGATGTGGTGGCACAGGAACTCCACAGCATCCTTATTAGCAACAAAGCTTCTAGATCTCATCCAGCTGACTGACATCCAGGGGTTACAGGAATGACTTACACCATGAATGCAATGGGAAAAATCCAGAAGTGACACACTCTACAGGACAATACCATCACTGATCTCACCTGCTGTGATTTCTGCTCCCTTCCTCCTCCTTTCCTAGTCTTCCTGAGCTTTGTCCTCAGAGATATACATCTACCTGGACAGGCACGCAGACTGAAAGGGCGTGGGAGGGAGAGTGGGACTATACCCGGGAATATAGAGGTCTGACGTGAGATACGTGTGCAGGTGTATTGACCTTTGCTGCAAATACATCCATGAATGGAGTAGAGCATACAGGGGGCAAGGAGTCCTAATACAGTGCTGTAGCTTATACACTGCTCAGTCTCTCTTTGGAAACCCTACTCAAGGTCGCTATGAGTCAGAACCGACTCTACGGCACTTAACAACAACAAATACAGGGGACATGGTTGTTAAAAAGCATCATGGACATAACCAAACACCTTGAGGGAAGAAGTCATGAGGGCTGGAGGCTAGGACCATGGTCTTAGGAACATCAAGATCAACTGGTATACCATAACACGACTTCTTGTAAGTCTTCTGCTTGAAAATTATTTTTTAAAGTAGAAACAAAATAAAATTATGATACTTGAGGAAGGAGGCAGTTAGCAATTCTTTGTCCTAAACCTACATGTTCTAAAAGATATGTTTAATTACAACAAACTAGAAAACATTATCAAGTTAGCATTTAAGTCATTTTTGCTACTATAGAAAGGGCTGAAAATAAGTTGAATGCCCTAATATACAATCTGTGCCACAAGAAATTATGAAAATCATTACTGAGTAGGCCACGCTATATGTAGGTATTATTTTGATTCAAACATTATTCAGCCAAACAAAGAAAAAGGTTTTCAGAGCCTGAAGTAACTAACCTAAAAAATGCCATGTTAACCTTATTATTTTAACATATCAACATGATATTTAATATGAAAACCTTTCCCTGAGGACCTTCTGCTACTTTGTTCTGTTTAATTCAAACCAGATTAGTCAGGTTGTCTCATTTATATATATTTAACTCTAAATAGCAAGAATATTGGGAATTAGCAGCTATTTTAAAGATAATTATACTAATTTTTAAAGCTCTCATTATGCTTTCAAAAACTGATAAGAAACAACAACAAAAAAGAAAATCTTACCTTTCCAATGAACGGAACAAGATGATGTTCACACATAGAAAACATGTCTATGTCTTTCACAATCACCATCTCATCATGATCTTCATCAAATATAGCATCGTTTAAGACATCTGAAAGCAGAGGCTTGCTTTAATACCAACTTTACAGAGAGATGCACAGCAGGAAAGCTAACAATCTCTAGGAATAAATATAAATAGACAATCACCATATGAAAGAATGCTAATCCTCACTCAACTATTAAAGAAGCACAAATTAAAACAAGTTATTTTTTTCTCGTTTCAGATTAGCATAGGTGTTCTCTTTAAACAATGAGGGAAATCCTTATAATACAGTGTTTTGTGAAAATGAAGGATTATAAATGTATTTGTAGTATGAAAGAGAGACTGACTGATAGATTGATTCTGCCAAAATCAAACCGTGATTATTTCTGTGTAGTAGAAAATGGGCCACTTCTTTAGATTTTCTTATACTATGGATGTGCAGGAAAACCTGAGAAAAAATCGAATCTTACTTTTGAGAGTAGATACAGACACCTGTAAACTTGACCTCCTCACATCATTTCCTACTCTTCTGTTTCCCATTATTGTATGCAAGTACCAATGTTATTCCTAACAGTCACCTTCCTCCCTTCCTAAGAGAGATAAAGCCTTCAGTTTCTATGTACATACCTGTCTAGGTAGACGCTTAGTGACAAGCAGTGACAATCATTTCCTACTCTTCTGTTTCCCATTATTGTATGCAAGTACCAATGTTATTCCTAACAGTCACCTTCCTCCCTTCCTAAGAGAGATAAAGCCTTCAGTTTCTATGCATACACCTGTCTAGGTAGACGCTTAGTGACAAGCAATGACTTGTTTAAGTTGAGGATGCTGGCACAGATGGCCAGGCATACAACAGACATTGAAAAGCACAAATTTTGTTGGTCAACTCAGCAGCAAAAGGACAAACAACCTAATTTTTAAAAATGGTCAAAGAACTTGAGTAGACATTTCATCAAAGAAGTTGTACAAATGGCCAATAAGCACATAAGAAGATACTCAATGTTGTTGTTAAGTGCTGTCAAGTCAGTTCTGACTCATAGCGAAATGTAATTCAAAACCACAAGAATGACTATTATCAGAAACAGGAAAAACAATATTGGTGAGGAAGTGGAGAAAAGGAAACCCTTACCTACAAGGGGACTTCAAAATGCTCAAGGGAAAATGGAACTAAAAGATAACAGAATTTTTCAATTGAGCTTTTTGAAGCCCCCTTATATTGTTGGAAAACAGTTGGGTGGTTCCTCAAAAAGTTGAACATAGAATTACTACATAATCCAGCAATTCCACAACTAGGTTGTTGTTAAGTGTCTTCAAGTCGGGTTCTGACTCATGGCGACCCTGTATAGGGTTTCAAAGGAACAGCTGGTAGGTTTGCACCACTAACCTTGTGGTTAGCAGTCCAGTGCTTATCCTACAGTGCTACACACCAGGACTTCACTCGTAGGTATATATATACCCAAAGAATTGTTCATTACAGTAATATTCACAATAGCCAAAAAGTACAAATAGTCCAAGTCTCCATCAAACAAATGAATAAACAAAATGTGGTATATACATACAATGAAATACTATTCAGCCACAGAGAAGAATTAAGTTCTGATACATGAATGAACCTTAAAAACATTATACTAAGTGAAATAAGTCAGACACCAGTGGACAAATACTGTATGATTCCATTTACACAAACCAAAGTTTATCAGTAGTTACTAGGAATGGGTGAGTGGAGGAAAGGGGGTAGTTCACTGAGTCGCTGTTAAAATTAATGAAAAAAAAAAAAGGAAATGGATAGTAATGCTAGTTGAGCAACATGGTGAATGCAGTTAATGTCACTGATTGCATGCAAAAATGGTTACAATGACAACTGTTTTATTATGTGTATTTTATCACAATAAAACATTAAATGATAAAATACAATGATTTTTTAAAAATATAAAGGTTTTGTTTACTGAAACTGCACCGATGCCTTGACAGCTTGACACATGGGATATAGTCAAGATCTCTAAGTGTGTGATTTCAAAGATTTGGGGATACCCAATCCGCAGAGTCTGATGAGACATGAAAAGGAAAAAATTAAATAGAGCTTTGCAGCCGCCTACACCTACTTCCCTCTGAAAGGTAGGCTGTCGAGTGAGTCACAGGGAAGATGTACAAATGTCCACCCACACTGCCTGCTCTTCAGTGGCTCTGTTGCTACGAGAATAGGGATTCACATATACTGAGTCATCATTTGACCTGAGTCAGGCTATTCAAAGACACATATGACTGCGTAGTAGGAAAGTTATCAGCCTTCTGAGGTAATCGTGTGAGGCTTAGACACATAGAGGAGCACAGATACGACTGAGAGAAGGAGCTGATAAAATCCAGGGAGGAAACAGCTCAGCGCTGTTCTGTACGTATACACTCCTTCTCCTAAAGCAGCTTCCAGTCTGAATACTCTGCCCTAACATCCTGCCGTATTTTTTAAGCAGTCTACAAGTATATCCTTGGTGCTCCCAAAGTATTCTGGACTTTTCTCCAAGATATGAATGTAATGTTATTGTTATATTAGTTTATTAAAATCTGCAGTCACACAATAAATCTTCATGGAAGGTTTTTGTTTTGTTAACTTTTATTAAGAGGGAACCATCAAATGTAGGAGGCATATTCATCTGTCTTCTCTGGCCAATAATGAGAGCACCCTACCCTAAACTATGAAAACAACCATACGACTTGTTAACAGCTGGCCCTTGAAGTGTTAAATTAGGATCTGGCTCCATCACTTACTAGCTGTTGGAGCTTGGGGGCAAGTCACACTGCACCTCAATCTCTTTGGCTTCAAAATAGGCATGAACCAAGTGCCTGCTTTACAGCGGTAGCATGAGGACTAAAGAAGTCAATTCATAGGTGTTTAAATCTACCCTGGCACAGCGCTGTGGGATAAGAATTGGACTGCTAACCACAAAGTCAGTGGTTCGAACCCACCAGCTGCTCCTTGGAAACCATATACGGAGTCGCTATGAGTTGACAACACTAAACAACAACATAGAAGAGTAAGTGGCAGATGCTGCTATTACATGTTTGCTGTTATTGCAATTATTTTGAAGACTCAGGGAGTTGTTATTATTTTGAAGAGGGAGTTACTAAGCTTTGTGTCCCGCGCACACTGATAAACATATGAATTTAAGAAGCAGGTGCCATGGGATAAAGCACTGAGCCAAAGGTCGGTTTGAACCACAAGGTCAGCGGTTCAAACTTTACCAGCTGCTCCCTGGAAATCCTGTACTGGGTTGTAAGAGCCAGAACCAACTCGACGGCACTTAACAATTTACATCTAAAAATGGAGTACAGAAAGGAAAACATAGTAACTTTACAATGGAGAAATCTAGCCGATTCTCACTTAACCAAGAGACCAAGCTTAGCATCACCTGCAATAAGACAGATTATCATGTAGCTCTTGGTGCTACAATGAGACTGGTACATCATCTCAGTGGTATTCTTCCCTACAATCTATAACCACATCTAGTCATAAGACAAGACCAACTGAAACACAGTCAACAACCACTTAACAAGTACGCTTCTAAAGCATCAAGGTCATGAAAAATGTGGAAAGACCACAGAACTGTCTCAAATCGGAAGAGATATATAACAAATTTAATGAAAAGCCCACAATCCAGATAAAATTTAAAGGGTAGTTAATAGTATTGTACCAATGTTAATTTCTTAAATTTTGAGAATTATAATTTTTTGAGATAGCATTAGGGGAGCTGGAAGAAATCTATACGAAAAGAGTACTGTCTTGGTAATTCTTTCATAAGTCTAAAATTATTTAATAATAACAATAATTTTTAAAAAGCGAAAGTATAACATTCATCCACTGGAACATTCAAATAAAGGAGTTGTTGTACTTGTTAGGTTCCATCAAGTCGGTACCGACCCATAGAGACCTATACACAGCAGAATGAAACACTGCCTGATCCTGGGCCAACCTCACCACAGTTGCCA